GGGGGTTGTTTTCCCACGGCCGCGGGGGGTCCTGCGCAGCCGGACCTGTCCCGCCCCGAAGGAAAACACGAAGCCAGCGGGACACTGCGGCCTCAGCACCGCGGGACCCCCGCCCGGCCCTTCCCCCCTCGGCCGGAGCTGCCGGGGACGGACAATCTCAGGAGAGAGTGCGGGAAGGATCTGGGGTCCCGAGGATGGGGGATCCCGAGGATCCAGAGATCCCGAGGATGGGGGATCCCAAAGAATCCCCCCCATGTCCGGGTGCCCAGGGATCCCAAAGACCTGCAAACCCTGTTCCTGGACATCCCGAAGTCCCAGGATCCCGAGGATTCCGGTGCTTGGATGTCCAGGGATCCCAGGGGCCCAAGGTCACAGGCACCAGGGTGCCCAGACATCCCAAGATCCCAGGGATCCCGAGGATCCCAAAGACCCAGGGATCCCGAGGACCAAGGACTCCGCTGTTGGAATGTCCAGGGACCCAGGATCCCAGGGATCCAGACCCCCAGGCATCCCAAGGATCCCGGCACTCTGAGGACTCAGGGATGCCACGAGATGTCCCAGAAGTGCCAAGGATCCCCAGATCCCAAGGATCCACATGTCCGGACACGCAGTCCACGCCCTTCCCTCCTGTCCCCTGACCCGGCCGGTGCCAGTCCGGGTGTCCGGCTCCCCCCGTCACCGCCCACGCTCCGCTGCTCCCGCCGCCCTCCTGCCCGGGGTCCAAGGGGCTCCCAGGGATGCGGTTCAGGGCCCCCAGGACTTTGCCTCATCAATGATCCACCCTGGAGGGGCAGAACGGGCCGGAGGGGCCGGGGGTCCCCATCTGTCGGGGTCTGGGGGCTTCCAGGGCGAGGAAGAGGATGGGTTTGGTGGGATGGAGGGGCAGCCGTTGGGTGTCTCCGGGTGGGCCCGGCGTGGTCGGCACCGGCGTTTCCGCCCCAAGAGCGTCTCCACCGACCCATGGCCGGATCCGGAGTCAAACGTTAACCGGGACCGGGGTGGCCTTAAATAGGAGCGGGGCCAGGCCGGGGGCAGGGCAGGGCCATGGGCAGCCACGGGGCTGAGGGGTGGTAGCGGCCAGCCGAGGGCTCCGGGCAGCGGGATCTGGTGCTGGGAGAGACCGGCAGGTACCGGGAGCGACCGACAGGTGAGTGATCAATAGAGCGATCGATGGGTTGGTCATGGAGAGCCCAGTGAGGGCAGGAGATCAATAGATCAATCGATGGAGGGAAGGGCTGATCAATAGAGAGATTATAGGTCAGGAGGTTGATCGATAGAGAGATCAAAATAAATAAATCAACCAATAGAAGGATTAAAGGTCAATAAATCAATCAAGAGAGCAATTAAAGGTCAATTAATCAATCAATAGGAAGATTTACAGGCCAAGAGACTGATCAATAGAGAGTTTAAGGTTGGTACATAAATCAATAGATTATAAATCTATAACTGGATCATTAGAATGATTGATGGAGAAGGAGATCATTATTCTGATCGTGGTTTAATAGAATCATCAATAGGAAAATAGAGATCAATTAGATGATCAATTATTAAATTAGAGATCAATTTATTGGTGCTAGAGATACACAGACAACAGATGGATCAATAGACATCCCTCTAGATCAAGAGATTGATTGATCAAGCCACCAACAGATGAATAGATCAATCAATAGATCAATAGATCAATAACAGAAACATAGGGATCAATAAACTAATACATGAAGAGATCATGGACTAATTATGATCAACCTGTTATAGATAAGGGGAGGTTAATGATCAATAATTTATCAGCAGAGAAAGAACTCGCTGGATTGATTGGCAGGGGGACCAACAGATCAATCAATAGGTGGATTATCAGCAGGTAATCGATTTATTGATAGGCTAAGGATCAATAAATGGGCAGAGACAGGCGTGGGCAGCAGAGAAATCCATTGATCCACCGATCGATCGATTGACCGAGGGGTGAAGGAGG